GGGCTCGCTGCCCTGCCCCCGGCGCTCTGGCCGCGGGGGGGGGGGAGAGCCGAGCCCCCGCCGGGGCTCGCCGCCCTGCCCCCGGGGAGGGGGGGGCGGCCGGAGGCTTTTTCGCCTGGGGCGGCGAAAAAGCCAGAGCCGGCCCTGCCGGTTGGCCTGATGAACAGAGAAACCCATAGTTGTTTAGGGCTTTGTGATGGGGTGAATTTCTAAAGATTTGTATCCAACCCCTTTAGGGCTGAATATCTTCCAGGATCAAGTTTTTCATCAGATTTCTAATCTGTCATTATTTCAACTGGACCAGGGAACACCCTCTCTCGCCCTATAGAAGTGCTTGCAGTTCCATGTGAAACCAGGAAATGCAAAGGCTTGTGAAAGTAAAAATAAAACAGTTAATAGAGCTTAGCACTGTGGTAATTAAATGAGAAGATGAGAATTTAAACTATTGAACCCTCAAGAAATGCTAACAATAAAGTTCTCAGTGGCACTCACCAGAAATATGGACGATTGATAGCAACTCCAAGATTAATTGTACTGAAATTGTCACTTAAAATTCCTCTGTTCCACACTTCAGCGCTTGAATTTGGTCTCCAGATTTGCTGCAGCCTTAGCTGCCCAGCTTCCCAGCACACCAAGACAACAGTGCCATGGGGAGCCCTTGAAGCACTGGTGCCTTCATTCAAGGGCACGTGGTTCCTTCAGTGCCACTGCCTCAGCAGTCCTGCACCCCAGGCAGCTGTGCTGGAGGAAGCCAGTATCTCTGCACCAGGGCACTAGAATTTGAAGGGTTCCCTGGCATTGCTGCCTCAGCTCCGTGGAGCAATAAAGCAACAGAGACCTTTGATAGGGCCCTTCAAGCCTTGGTGCAGAGTTCCCTTACAACCCAGGCCCCCTGGATAGCACCCATCCCTCCCATGCAGGCATCTACAACCAAATCACTCATCTTCCATCCCATAATTCCTATATGCTCACTGACCCACCTTCATTTCCCCTGGTGCACCACAGAAATTGTACTGAGACAATCCCTGCCCCAAAGAGCTTACAATTTATTTGTTCTGTTTATAAAGTGTCTAGCAAAAGTGGGACCTGGTCCATAATGGGGCTGCTAGGTGCTCCCACAATACAAACATTATTAATAATTATTAATTATTATTAATAATAATAAATATGGAGCCAGGGTGAGCATATATATGCTAAAAATCATAAATCATAGCCTTTATTTTTAAAGGTATACAAATCAAGTAATTTACCCTCCACCCCCAAAATCTGAGTACTTTAAAATTGTTATAATCTTGGGGTATTCTCTAACCTGGAATTCATTTTTTTAACTCCACCACAGAATGTAATAGTCACTATTAATTCAGATCTTGGCAAAGGCAACTGATAGGAAGAATTTAAGTTAACAAACTGTGTTCCCAGAACCATCCTGACATTTTGATGACATCATTAACAATGCTCAGCAAAAGAGGTAACCACAATACAGTCATCAAATAGGTCTGGCTGGTGTTGCATAAGAAACAGCAGGACAAAAGCAATCAGTGTTTGTCAGATGGAAAACAACAAAACCATTAGTGAAAGAAACACTTAAAAATGATTGAACACTGACTTTGACCAGCATTGAACAGCTTTCACAGGTGCAGTTATTTGAATATATTTCACTCCCCCAAGGTTGGCAAGTTGTGGGAATTTAATACTGTTTGGAGTCCAGGGAATTAGATGAAGAACTGGAGTAGTGATTTCTCTCAATAAATAGGATATTGGTGCTTTCCATCTTAATAAATGAAAGACAGATACTGCTTTTGTTAACCAAAGAGCAGGTGTCTTTCATTCAACATTTCATATTTGTGGATTTATCGCACCACATTTGCCTTGTTAGGCATACTACAAATAAATCATTTGAGCTGTGCTAATACACTTGACCTTTTGAGAATAACATTTTTCTACCAAAGAACAAAAATAAATGTATAGTCAGGGCTCACTATTTCGGATGCATGTCATGTGCATTGTCACTAGAGCTGTGCCGACAGAATGAAAAGATTGTCATTACGTTTTGCTCTCCACATTTCCCAGCCCCCTCAGTTCTCTTATGCACCATCTCTCTCGAGCCAATGCTAGAATGCCTCCTTCTGCTCCAGAGATTTTACAGAGCTGATGTAGGGGCCATTTATGTTAGGGGTATTCCCTGGTGGCATTCGGGCCCTTATGGCTGCCCTATGACCGCTTTGCACCAATCTAAGTGGTATTAAAAAGGGCCACAGGTCAAAGATAAATCAGGCCTATAATTTTTTCTGACTGTTTGACAGTGTGTTAAAACAAGTCAAAAAAATTTCTGTTAACTCTCAGAAATACATGGGATGGGCTCAGACAATCAGGGATTCAGAACAAGGGCCATGTGACTTTCATCTATATCACTTCCACAATACAGCCAAAGTCAGCTCAATATCTACAATGCATCACAAAAGCTGCCTTCAAAACTTTTGCTAAATTCTGTGTAACAAAGATAAAACTGTACCCAGCTTCAATGATAATTTTACTGATTCAAAAATGTTGCATTAAGCACTGCATGTTCGAAGAAGCTCCAGGAACTTGACAACGGGCAAATCTCAAGTTACTCTGATTTTACATAGAATGCTTTACTCAGCTCTAATCAATGGATAGCTTGAAAAATCTGCTACTGTGTTTGTGCAGTATGGAAGTTTTCAATGTATATGTCCTCTCTCCTGCTCAAATTGGAACTCATCCTAAAATGTTTACTCAACTCTGTTAGTTATATCAGACAGACAGAATCAGAGGTGGGGCTGGTAACACAACTTCATGTTAAGGTTGCCTGCCAGTTCCCATTATATGACCCTGTTTTCAGTTACTTATAACTTTGCCAAACCTTATCTGTTCAAGCTCAAATGTCCCATGCTGGGTGTGTGCCTCAGCTTCATATATATATATACACACACACAAATCTTCAGCCAAAATGGAATAGCCACTTCTGAGAACAAGGCTAATGAAAAATACAATGTTTTGCCCATGTTAAAAAAAATCACAGGGTTGTGCTTTGGACGTATTAACTGCTATATCCTGTAATGCTAAGTCTCTGGGAAAAAAAGTCAGGTCCTAGATGACTCATAGACTGTATGGCACAAAGAGACCATCATGATCATCTAGTCTGTCCTCCTGCATATCGCAGGCCACAGAACTTCTCCCACCCATTCCTGTAATAGGCCCATAACTTCTGGCTGAGTTATTGAAGTCCTCAAATCTTCACTTAAAGACTTAAAGTTACAGACAATCTACCATATACTCTAGGTCAAACCAGCAAGAGACCCATGCCCAATCCTTCAGAGGAAGGCTAAAAAACCCCATGGTCTCTGCCAATCTGACCTAGGGAAAATTCCTTCTCAACCTCAAATCTGGCAATCAATTAGACGATAAGTATGTGGGCGAGACCAACCAGCCCGACACCTGGGAAAGAATTCTTGGTAGTAACTCAGAGCCCTCTCCATCTAGTGTCCCATCTTGTAGCAATTGGAAATATTTGCTAATAGCAGTTGCACATGGGCTGTATGTCATTGTAGACAATCTCTTCATACCATCCCCTCCAAAAATGTATCAAGCTCAGTACTAAAACAAGTTAGGATTTTTTTTTTGCCCCCACTACTTCCCTTGGAACTTCACTCTTCTGATGGTTAGAAACCTTTGTCTAATTTCATGCCTAAACTTCTTGATGGCCATTTTATATACATTTTTTTCTTGTGCCAACATTTGCCCTTAACTTAAATAATTTCTCTCCCTCCCATGGTGTTAATCCCTCTCATGTATTTATAGCGAGCAATAATAACTCCTCTCAGACTTCATTTTGTTAGGTTTAACAAGCCAAGCTCCTTAAGTCTCCTTTCATAAGGGAGGTTCCCCATTCCTCTGATCATCCAAGTAGCCTTTCTCTGCACCTGTTCCAGTTTGAATTAATCTTTCTTTAACAAGGGAGACCAGAATTGCACACAGAATTCCAAATGAGGTCTCACCCAATGCCTTGTATAATGATAACAACACTTCCCTGTCTTTACTGGAAATACCTCATCTGGTACATCCAAGGATTGCATTAGTCTTTTTCATGGCCACATTATATTGGTGGCTCTTAATCATCCTGTGATTGACCAAAACACCCAGGTCTTTCTCCTTCTCTGTCTCTTCAACTGATACATCTCCATCTTATAGCAAAAATTCTTGTTGTTAGTCCCTAAGTGCATGATCTTTCACTTTGCATTGTTAAATTTCACCCCATTTCTATTACTCCAATTTTCAAGGTCATTCAAATCTTCTTGTATGATATTCCGGTCCTTCTCCATATTGGTAATATATCCCAACTTTGTGTCACCTGCAGATTTTATTAGCACACTCCTACTTTTTGTGCCTAGGTATTAGTGAAAATGTTAAGTAAGATTGGTCCCAGCACCAGTCCCTGAGGAACTCCACTGGTAACTTCTGTGACCGAAAGCATCCCTCTGTTCACACTGTACACACCATTGTAATAGTCTTAATACAAAATATGCTTTGGGAGGTATCATTTGAAAACTGATAACTTGCTGGTCAATAATATCATGGTGAAATGTGTGTAGCAAAATTATATGTAAAGTTATTAATACCCACGTATAATGTTGCTAGCACATGTTCAAACCCACACAATCTTGACTAGCCAAAAGTTGTTAAAGAGTTCTGTCTTAAACAAAGGAATGTGTGTTTACTTCAGTTTACATATAAGTAGTATACAGGGCAGGAGGAGGGGAAAATGACAGGAGACAAGGCAAATCTGCATTTCAGCATACACACGGAGAAGAAAGAGCATGGAGCCAACTTCACCACCAGACTCCACGTCGCCTTCTTTATGGTTTGAATAAACTTTGCTTTGAGGGGTAATCCTCAGAAGAGTCCACTTGAAAGGGTGACTGGACTATAAAAGTGAGTATTGGAATCAGGCATGGAGATTACATAAGCATCTCCCAGATTCCTAGTTTAAAGCTCATTCAATCAGTTGTGCCAACCTCTATCCCAGAAGTCTATTTTCCTCCCTGGTCAGGTGGAGTCTATCCCATGAGAACAGTCTTCTGTCCGTGAATGCTTCCCAGTGGTCGAACATCCCCAAACCCTCCTTATAGCACCACTGCCTGAGCCATCGTAATATTGTCTCATCTTCATTGTCCTCTTCTAGGGACAGGTAGAATTCCACTGAAGATCACCTGAGCTCCCATTTCTTTAAGTGTCTTTCTTGGTCTGGTGTAGTCTTCCTTGATGTGCCCCAGCAAAAATCTAGCAGTATCATTTGTTTCCACGTGAAGGACAATCAGTGGATTCCTTCCTGCTCCCATTAGGATCCTCTTCAGCCTCAGGTCCATATCCCATATCTTAGATTCCAAAATTTTGAGCACCCAAAATAAGTAGATTTTTTTACCTTAAACTTTCTGTGCCTTAGTTATCCATCTGTAAAATGGGAGTAATACCACACTCTTACCTCACAGGATGTTTTTAAAATAAATTAATGTTTGAGAAGCACTCAGATGTTATAATGATGAACACCTTTGAAAAGCACATGAGAAAATTAATAACTCTATCTTCAGAGTAGGGTTTGAGTAGAATATAGCAATTAAGGTATGTGCCCACACATTGAACAATGAGGATAAAACAGTTCATGCTGTACACTTGAATGCAGCCTGGGTCCTATGGAAAAAAATAGCATGTGATCATATAATTAAAGACTGAATCATAATGCATATGCACAAAGGGGGCAAATTAAGTTTTCATAGGCAACCTTCATTTGGGATTTCCTGACTTTTGATTGCTTGACTTTGCAAACTTAATGTTCTTGCAATGTAGTTTTTATTTGTGTAATTTAGATAGACACTATAAAGGAGTACTGCTGTGCTGTAGAAATTGAAATGAAAACTTTGACAACTCCTTCTTTAAAGGATGTTTTTGCTAAGCTCTGAAATATTAATAAATGAATAATGAAGTGGTAAACTAAACAAGCTAATAGGATGTGACTATGAATTTATAGGTTTTGGAGAAACAAATAAGAACAAGAGATAATGTTGCAACAGGAACAACTTTTGCTGTTCAAAGTTTGGACCATAAATACCTATATGGATTTGGGGACCTGCGTGGAAGGGTGGCCAGGTAAGTAAAACATAATGGGCCTGATTCTCATTTTCACTGCTCTAGGTATGTAAAGGGACCTTAAAGTGGGTATAAGAACATAAGAACGGCCATACTGGTTCAGACCAAAGGTCCATCTAGCCCAGTATACTGTCTTTTGACAGTGGCCAATGCCAGGTGTCCCAGAGGAAATGAACAAAACAGGTAATCATCAAGTGATCCATATCCTGTCGCCCATTCCCAGCTTCTGGGAAACAGAGGCCAGGGACACCATCTCTGCCCATCCTGGTTAATAGGCATCGATGGACCTATCCTCCATGAACTTATCTAGTTCTTTTTTGAACCCTATTATAGTCTTGGCCTTCACAACATGCTCTGGCAAGGAGTTCCATAGGTTGACTGTGCGTTGTATGAAAAAATATTTCCTTTTGTTTGTTTTAAACCTGCTGCCTATTAATTTCATTTTGTGACCTCTAGTTTTTCTGTTATGAGACGGAGTAAATAACACTTCCTTATTTACTTTCTCCATACCAGTCATGATTTTATAGACCTCTATCATATCCCCCTTAGTCATCTCTTTGCCATGCTGAAAAGTCCCAGTCTTATTAATCGCTCCTCAGATGTCAGCCTTTCCATACCCCTAATAATTTTTGTTGCCCTTTTCTGAACCTTTTCCAATTCCAATATATCTTTTTTGAGATGGGGCGACCACATCTGCATGCAGTATTCAAGCAGTGGGCAGACCATGGATTTATATAGATGCAATATGATATTTTCTGTATTATTTAATATCCATTTCTTAATGATTCCCAACATTCTGTTAGCTTTTTTGACTGCCGCTGCACAGAGTGGCTGTTTTCAGAGAACTATCCACAATGATTCAAAGATCTCTTTCTTGAGTGGTAACAGCTAATTTAGACCCCATCATTTTATATGTCTAGTTGTCTAGATTATGTTTTCCAATGTGCATTACTTTGCATTTATCAACATTGAATTTCATTTGCCATTTTGTTGCCCAGTCACCCAGTTTTGTGAGATCTTTTTGTAGCTCTTCGCAGTCTGCTTTGGACTTAACCATCTTGAGTAGATTTGTATTATCTGCAAATTTTGCCACCTCACTGTTTACTTCTTTTTCCAGATCATTTATGAATATGTTGAATAGGATTGGTCCAGTACAGACCCGTGGGGGACACCACTATTTACCTCTCTCATTGTGAAAACTGACCATTTATTCCTACCTTTTGTTTCCTATCTTTTAACCAGTTACCAATCTATGAGAGAACCTTCCCTCTTATCCCCATGACAATATACTTTACTCCCTTTTACACTGCCAGAGCAGTGTGAAGTGTTCTTAGTGTAAATAAGAATCAGGTTCAATGTGTTAGTACCAGGTTTACAATGGTGCCAATGGTGCCATGATGCCAGGCCCACACTCAGAAGGGGCCCTGGCATCCAGACTGTGGACCTGCCCTCTGCTCCAACCACGCTCTGTCCGGAGGCTCTGCCTCACTCAGCCTCTTCTCCCCAAGGCCCCACCCGGAGCTCACTCCTCTCTGATCCCGGCCCGCCCCTGCTCACTCCTCTCCGCCCCTTCCCCACCATGTTAGCAATGGGCAGGGCCTCAGGGGAAGAGGCCGAGTGGGGGGTGGAGCCTCAGGGCAGAGCACAGGCGGGGAGAAGAGGCTGAGCGGAGGTGTGACCTTGGGGCAGAGCATGGGCGGAGCAGGGGGCGGGGTCACGGTTCAGGTATTGGAGCCGAAAAGATTAATCCGGCCCTGGTAAAATATATAATGCTAATGAATAATAATTACATCTTTCGGACTCAGTTCTTCCTCAAAAACGAATAACATTTTAGAGATATTATCCTTGATGTGCTGGCTAGATTTCAACTTGAGTAATTACATTTCCCCATCTAAATTCCCCTGTAGTTTCAATTATATATGGCATAGAATTCTTCATTTCCTCTCCTAAAACTGAGAACAGCAACACTACTGTACGACAGCTAAGTACCACTGTGTTCCACCCCAGAGATGGATGCATTTTAGTGGTGGATGCAGGGATAGCTGTAGTCTGTAAACTGCATTCAATATTTTGGAATATGTAGATGAGTGTTGTGCTGGGGAAATTTTCAGGGTGCTAGGGAAAGATAGACTTCTTCCCCTCAGGCTATGCTGTGGCAAATATTGCCCAGATAACTTGCACCTAATAAAGAATTGGCTGAGGAGCTCTCTGGCCCGCTGATGTTAATTTTTACTAAATCTGGAATAGTGGGGGAATTCCAGAAGACAGAAGGGTGCCAGTATTGTACCAATATTAAAAAGGGCAAGCAGAATGTCCATTCTGGTTAGTCTGATATCAGTGCCGGTCAAAAGAAAGGAAAAGCGGATATGGTATTCAACGGATAAAGAATTAAAAAATAGTAGGAATATAATTAATGCCAGTCGATATGGTTTTATGGCAAACAGGTCTTGTCAAACAAACCTGATTTTATTCTTCTATGAGATTACAGGTTTGGTTGATGAAGGCAACTGTGTAAATGTAATATACTTAGTCTTTTGTATGGTGTTTGGCTTAGCACTGCACAATATTCTGATTTAAAAAATACAATACACTATACAATATCTATAGAGCACATGATGAATGCATTGAGAATGCATTAGCTAGTGGACAGATCTCAAAAAGTAGGGGAATCATCATTGAATGGGGTGTCTCTAGTGGGGTTCTGCAGAAACCGGTACTAGTCCCGACTCTATTCAACATTTTTATCAATGATCTGGAAGTAAACATAAAATCACTGCTAATAAAATTTGCAGATGACACAAAGATTGGCAGAATGGTAAATAATGATGAGGACAGTGCAGTCATAGTGTGGTCTGGATCGCTTGGTAATGTAGTCTTATCCAAACAAAATGCAAAACGTGCAGCCCAATGCAGTTATACATCTAGGAACAATGAATGCAGGCCATGCCTACAAGATGAGCGAGCTGTATTGTGGAAAGCAGTGTCCGTGAAAAGGATTTAAGGGTCACAGTGGACAGGCAATTAAACGTGTGTCCCTAGTGCAATGCTGTGGCAAGAAGAGCTAATGTGATTCTTGGATGTGTAGACAGGGAAGTAGTGAGTACGAGTAAGGAAGTAATTTTACCTGTGTATTTGGCATTGGTGAGACCAATACAAGAATACTGGTGTCCACATTTTAAAAAGAATGTTGAAAAATTGGAGAGGTCCCAGAAAAGAGCCACTAAAATGATTCAAGGTCTGCAGAAAATGTCTTCCAGTGAGAGACTTAAAGATCTCAGTCTGTTTAGTTTATCAAAAAAGTTTGAGAGGTGACTTGATCACAGTGTATAAGTACCTTCATGAGGAGAAAATGCTGGTCCTTAAGGGCTCTTTAATCTAGTGGAGAAAGGCCTAACAAGATCCAATGCCTGGACTCTGAAGCTAGACAAATTTAAGTTAGACACAAAATTTTAACAATGAGGTGATTAACTACTGGAACAAACTACCAAAGGAAGTGATGGATTCTCCATCTCTTGATGTCTTTGTATCAAGACTGGCTGCTTTTCTGGAAGTCATGTGTTAATCAAACACAAATTACTGGGCTCAATGCAGGGATAACTAGGTGAAATGTAATGACCTGTGGGGCTGTCCATGAATTATGTGACATATTGCAGGGTGGGGCCTTAATTCTGTGTGTGTTTTTTCAGTGTTACAAGGGCATAGTCTTGAAAAAACAGTGTTACATAAATTGTGGACAGCCCCTGTCATATACAGGAGTTGAGACTAGGTGATCTAATGCCTCCTTCTACCTTTAAACTCTAATAATCTATTGTACTTCTAGGGCTGTAGCAACTCCCAGGGAAGAATCATGCCCCTTCCAGAAGGGGAACGGTCACAAGATTAATTATATAGGGATGGATCCACTAGCCATCCACCAGGCCTGACAGCAAACGTGTCCCAATTAGCTCCAAGGAGCTCTGTATTCCATGCATCTGCAATCCTCCCTCTTCTCCACCACTTTTTCCTCACTCCCACACCAGGGATAGAACTGCAGTAGGTTGCCAGCACTTGGGGATCCCAGCCTTTGGAGTGAAGTATTCGCCCCCGAAGAAGCCAGCTTGGCAGTGCTGGAAACCTATTTTCATTATACATATTGGGCCAGATTCTCTACTAGTGTAAATTAACACATTTCTATTATAGTCCATGGAGTTATGCCAATTTACACCAGCTGAGATTCTGGCCCATTATATGTGTCACTTGATAAGCAGAGGGTTGCAAAACCCCATTTTTCAGTTGCTCAGAACTGTCCTAAAATTTCACTTTGGGTTGAAATTTTCCATGGTTGTACACAACCTAAAGATGATATTTTTTTTAAACTTAGGGGGAAATCCATGCAGCCATATGTGTTAAGCAAGGCTGAGAAAAGCATACTTGTACCATTGTAAAAAATTATTAGCACACTTTTTTCACACAAATAACTCAAAACAGCTGAAGTTGAGACTTGAATAGTGCCCACTGAGGTGTACATCCACAGCTGCACTTGCAATTTAGCTTGTCACTGCAGTTCACACCTTGTTCTCAAAGGAAACATGCACAAAACCTTCAAAAGATAAGTCTGGGAGCTTAAAGTCATAGCTTGCTAGACACTAAAAATCATGGTTTTAATAAAGGCAATGGATTTATGGCTTCTTACAACAATCTGTAACCCACTAACCCCCTTTTTTGTACTATGACTGGAGAGGTACTAACAGGCCACTTCACCTTGAATGGTTTCTCAGAATGTGTGTAACCAATCTGTTCCACCTTATATTTAGCTCTGAGTACCTTTCCCAGATCTGAAGAACAGCTCTGAGTAGCTCCAAAGCTTCTCTCTTTTACCAACAGAAACTGGTCCAATAAAAGTGATTACCTCACTCACCTTGTCTCTCTAATACAGTTTTAAGCAATTGAAAAATCATTTGTGAGCATGCTCACTGACTAACTGCTGAGATTTTCCAGTAGTGCCTAATTAATCACGCCTT